CAATATTTTAGTAGCTACTGGATATAGTGTATAAATGTGCAAGCTTTACAGAACAGAATCAAGCAAACAAACAACAGCCAATGAGGGTGGCAGAGGTCCAGTGTGTATCTGATCCTCCCAGATCTCTTGACCAAATAACAAGCACAAATAATCTTTCGTGACTACATCTCAACATAGTTAATTACGTTTATCTCAAGTTAAAATTAAAAGTATAATTTTTTTCCCGAAATTTACGACAATAAAGCAAACCATATTAAACAGATATAAATTATTCACGTGTTTTAAATATTTATAAACAGTTTCCAATAATTATACTCAGAAACGTTTTACGTGTTTTGTAAGATAATAACGAAAGTAGCACGCCACATTATTTTCATTTTTATTTTTTAATTAGGTTTAAAACTACATCTAACAAATTTATTTATTAGTGAATGTTTTTCCTCGTCGTTAGAACCCACTGGTGGCTCATCGGTTTGTTTGCTTATTGAATCTCGGGTAAAAGTTACTAGAGCATTATATGCCATCGCCGTTCCTAATTTTGAAGCGATAGACTAGAAGAAAGGCAGCTAGTCAACATCACCCATTGCCAACTCTAGGGCTGCTCTTTACCATCAAATAATGGGATTGACCGTCACATTAAAATGCTCTTATGGCTGAAAGGGTGGGCATGTTCGGTGACAGAATTCGATACCCGCGATTGGCACAGCGCAGAAAGTCTGTTTTGTAGTATAATAACTCTAGTAATTCATTTAATAAGCTAGATAGAAATTAATTGTTTTTAGCCGTAAGTAAAGTTTTGCATATTTGTTTGTAAATCGTCAAGCCTTTGATTATACAACATAAACAGAGGACGAAAGTAATTTTAAATAAAATACAAATTGATGTAAGAACCTTTTTTTTTCAGCCCTTTCACAAACATGGACACATATATATGTCCCATTCCAGAACTCTGCTTTGGGGTTCATTGACATATTTAGAAATTTTTTCATGTAAGGGGGGGGTGTAGGCAAAACATTTGAAGTGTTCCAAATACTGGGTACATGGAATACGTATCACTAAACTCCTTTAAACAACAATTATACAAGCAGTAGCAATATGTTTCCAGCTGAGCTAAGGTGTAATGTGTTTTGTTAAAATCTTTAAATTTTCTATATTTTTTTAACACAACTCTCCAAGGGGGGCGACTGAACCCTATTGGTAAGCCACTGAGAGGAGTATGAAACTGTTTACCGCCAGGAGGAAAGGATATAAATAAAGTTTACGAGTTTTAACTTTCAAATAAGTATTAAATATTAAAACCTATCTTTTTTTCTCATCTCTTGTTTTTTTTTTTCTATTGTCTATCTAAAAATATACCTAACACTGAGAGAAGTGGGAGTGAAAGAGTTGACAAATGCACGTTTTTCATGCTAGGTCCTGACCTGTTCTTTGAAACTCTGAGATATGTCACTGCAAAGATTTAGCTTGTTTATTTTCGTTTTGTGTAATTAAAAAGGAAAAATCTTTACGAGATCAACTTGATTGAGTAACTAACCGATGATCTAAAATAATAAAGGACCCTTAAAAGTAGCAACTTTGTGTTTTAAAATAGTTACGTTCAAATATTTTTAACAATATTTCAAATATTTTATGTTTTTCATTTACAGTATAAATATATTGTTACGTCTCTGTGTTCGTTTGTTAATTTTCCGTAGAAATTCTTCCCGAAAAACTTCAGCAATACAAGTCCTTTCTTAAATAAAACTAGTTTATTCTTTCTCAGTACAACTTTGCAATACACTTAATTACCGCCGTCAGTTAACTTAAACAAACGCTATAATTCACAACGAACGCTTGACTCAATTGTCCGTATCTATCTCTGTCTGCAATTTAATTCCCTTGTTGCCGTCACTTCTTACCGGTCTTATATATATACAAAAAGCGTACATCTCGTTTCTTCGTGAATCTTCTAGAATATCATGACGTGTTACCAGAGTCACGTGACTTCCGCTGTCGTAACTATATTTCAGTAGCATTATAAATTTTAAAAATGAACGAATTCAAATTAATCAAAGAATACTTTTGAAACTGTTTGCATAGACACTCAATGTCATATTACACTCACACATACTTACATTAACCTACGTACAGTATTTACCTTCAGCAGTTCACAATTAGGGACGGTGGCAGATAGTCTTAGTAGCATTGCCATAAATACAAATTTAAACTATTATTGGAGGTATAATCCAATCATGTCACACATTGGGTAAATGGTGCCAAGTTTGAGAACCATCTCTAAAGCATGGGTACAAGCATTCCGTGATAGGGGAACTGTTATAAATATAGGTTACGCTGAACAGCTGTTACATATTTTAGAAAGCAATAAAAATAAATCATTCGACAAGGGAATTAATCAAGCTAACAACTTAAACCAAGATATCTTACTAAAGAGAAATAAAACAAATAATGAATTAATGAGTATAATTAAATTAAAATTAATTAATAACAATGCGAATTAATATATGTTTACAAAATTGGTGAAAGATTAAGGAAATATAAGTCTGGTGCTATGAAGAGAAAAGGGAGAAAGTAATCAAAGGAAGCCCAAAAGTCGAAATTTGAATCGAAATATAACATTGTCTAGCAGGAGATCTTAAAAAGATGATTATAATAGTTCATAAAACTATTTTAGATGTTTAGATTATAAAAGTTTATCGTAGGCCAAGAAAACTTTTATTTTTTAAATCAAGTGATTTAAGCGAGTCCCAGAGGCTAATTGGACTATGGATCAATGGTTCGTGCCCCATTATCAAGAAAACAAACAATTCCGCACATTGGGGCCACTTTAAGAGTGGCGGTCAATTCCCACTATTCGATTAGAAAACTCGCGAGTTTGGCATGGGTGGTGTTGACTAGTTGCCTTCCTCTAGTTTATCACTAAAAATTAAAAAGGGCTAGCTCAAATAGCCCTCGAGCAGCTTTAGACGAAAAATTCAACGAACAACAATAAAATTTAAATCAAGTGGAATTGATGACAAAGTTTATTCCCTTAATGAATAAACATGTTTATAGGTTCATAATCGACGAAATAAAGCGTTATTTTTGGGGTTATGAAGTCCAGAGTAAACTAATCCAGAGGCTTCTAAAAACAATTCATTTATGCAATTGTTCTAAAATTAAACGTATAAAATACTATTCTTTGATAGTAAACTTTATCCTTGACGTATGTCATCAAAAGCAGCTGTCAGTAATTTAAAGAATAATATATATATATATAAAACGAAAAGCAAATAGCAGTGTGACTATCCTAACAACAAAACCTCAAGGTCTTACTCACAAACTTTGATTATTTACCCTTAGGATAATGCCCTAATGAATATCTTAAAACTTGCAATTAAATAGTTATTAATTTATTTCTTTTCTTTTTTTGCTCTTTGTGAGAATGCCCTCTCCTTACATCGATAAGTTGCGTGTGCAATTATAAAACTATAGTATCAGCTAAAGATGACTGCTTACCCTGACAAAATAAGTAAATTTGACCGACACAGTGACCTCTAGTCACACCTTTCTCTATTAACTATGAAAAAATGATGCGCCGACAGTATAATTTCCCTTACCAATTTTAAACACCCCAATCAGGTCCCCCTTAACTCTTTCTTTTTCTTAATCTGTCCTCCTATGATTACATTTCAGTCTCGTGTATTATTTTAGTAGCCCTTCTCTGAACCAGTTCCAACAATTCAATGTCCTTCTTAAGGTAAGAAGCCCAAGACTAAACTCGAAACTCTAAATGGGTCCCAGTGGCCCATTGATCTAAACAATGAAATTATAACTTCTTCAAACCTATTTTCAATTTTTCTGTTGAAACAACGTATAGTCTTATTTGCCTTACCATTAGCAATAGCACACTGCTTGGGTGGCTCAAGAAACTGATCAATCAAAACACAAAACTTTTTTTTCTATAACACAGCACTGCTTCTGCTTCCTTTAATGAACCTACACGTGTAACTGCTTTTTTTATATATTTCTTCAACTCCACCTCTATGGGTTTAATTTTCCTGCTTATTTGCTGTGACTCTTCACTGTAGGATTTCTTTTCACTTTCTTTTCCTAATCTTGTGAGTATTCAACATCTAAATCTCCTCGAAATTTGCATAAGCCTTCAAATTAAAAGGCTCTTCCATGAATGGGAACTTACCCTGGGGTACTTTTCTTTCATCACTGTTTTCTTTCAGGTGCTCAGCATTAAATTCATTTCATTTTCAAATTGTTCATTTATTTCATGCTTGGGATAGAGATAAAGATATTCTAGGCTTATTTCTAAGTGGGTAAGACATACTTCCTACTTTCGTACCAAATTAAGCATTGAAGGGGACCTGCAATTAAATACTTTGAAGAGACCTAGAACTTTGTTGCAACGTCCCCCAAAGCGTATTTATATCAAACAGCTTTTCTCTTTTAAATTGGATTTCGGTTAATGAATTTTTGAGTTGTAATTTTGTTATTTTTGCTTGTACGATAAACTACTACCTATAATATGATATTGTCGTTGGTTATCAGAGAATTAAATGAAAGATTTAAATAATCAAATGTCAAAATTGGCAATAAAAATAACAAGTTTAACAGTAATGAAACATTTTTTGTTGGATAATAGTAATCAAATATTAAAATACTATAAACTTATAGCGCCCTCTAGAAACACGTGGGTGAGCCTATTTGTCAGGCGTATGGTTAGGACTATCGATAGTTTTACACGTTGTAGAGAAGAATTCTCAGGTAATTTTAACATGCATGAATTATTATAGAAAATAATTATTGCAGTACAGAATTATTTTTTTTTCATTGATTACTGCGAGACTTGTATTATTAATTAATTGGTATTAGCCTTAATAATAATGCACAGTTAAGTGTAATGTAACAACTGATGGTACAGTGTTAATAACTTAGTATTAATAATAATGTTATGCAGTGTAGTTACTTACTATAGTAATACTAAGTAACTTAGTGCCTGAGACAGAGAGAGTGAATCTTAGAGTAGTTGTAACTTGTAGTATGAACATTAACACTTAAGAGGTTGCAACTAGTAATCTTAAACTTTAGTATTTAAGTTCAACATTTGAACTTTAATCATTAATTTGTCATGCTGCACTTATAATATTGTAAATTGTAATAGAATTAGAACTATTGGTACTACTGAGTTCTTGTTAATAATATCTATTTTACGAAGGTTTGTTGTTTCTTGTTAGGCTTTGAAAAATTAAATAGAGGTTGATATTATTTAATCATAATTTATTGTGGTAGTCTGTACATTAGTTAGTAATTTTGTTTTTATATTTTTTAGAATAATTTATAATACTAATAATAGTAATATCTTTGTCAGGTCCGTCTTTCCTGGCTTATATCTTGATATGGTTATAACATGTAATTTCTAACAATATAAGTAATGTTAGGATCTGAAATCTAATAAATTCACTTGTAAGTTGTAATTTATTTCAAACAATTGGTTACCACAAAAAGTGTGTTAAGTTTGAAAATTTAGTAAGTTTTTATATGAACAATTGGACTTTTTGTCCATATGTGAGCGTATATTTCACTACAACTTTCTACGGTGATTTAAACCCAATAATTTCACATTTGTATTGGTTCTATCAGAATCTAATTTATTATGGCAAGTCAGCTGAATACTTTTGTATTTTAATATTGGCTTTGATTCATCCCAACAGTCTCTGTTAACAATGAAAATTAAAAGAATACTGTCATTCTCTGTATATCACCATTCATTGGCTACTTTTTGTCCAAGTGTCACAAATCAGTTTATGACATAACAGCATTTACTTAAGTACTAGCAAACCTCTGGCCCACATTTACAATGCTGCTATGATGCAAAGTTAGTGCTTGAACTACCATTTTGCACTTTTTCAGTTTAATTATCATTACTGCTATAATTTAAGTTTAATTTCTTTAACCAAATCACAAACAGTAATCAGTAGGCCTACTTATTCGCATAGTCTAATGTAAATCAACGCCAAATTTGGAGTCCACTTTTGGAGAATCGTTGTAAAATTGTTATTGTGAAATATCTGGGTTTTCTAGGGGTTGGGTGAAATCTTTTACTTTTGTGCAAACCTTGGGCCCAAGACAATTCACTTGGCACCACTTAGAAATTAGGTGAGTCCAGCAGTTTAGAAGGGGTTTTTAGAAAATCCTCAAGGGGAAAGTGGAGAAATTTACCTTCATGCAAACCTCGGGACAGGATGATTCGTTTGGTACCACTTAGAAGTCAGTGTGACCAGCAGTTTATAAGTTACTTGACACACACCCACAAACACTAAATCTTGTTTTATAGATAATTTAATTATTATAATATTCTTGTATTTAAATGTGTTGATTAGTTTAGCCAATCTTCCGATAAGAGGTAATTGGTGATAGTCTCTTAATTCTTCACATATTAGGAGAATGTTTTATAGTATTTTGCACATATATTTGAATATCAAACTGTTAAATTTGTTTCATTGAATTCTAACGTAAAGACTTTTGTAATGCTTCCTTTCCAAACTTCTCACAAAGCAGATGGTTCTTAGATTGAATGTTTGTTCCAAATATTTTTCTGCTTAACATTTGAGGAATATGTTTCTCTTAGGGTTTTGATTATGATAGTTTTCATGGGAAAATTGTTTTGTTTCTTTAAAAACGTTTGTATCATTCGCTACATCTTTTGATGATGTTCTTTTTTTTCTGAAATATATACATGACTATGTTTACTAATGTTTAAATTTTAATGCATATTTCAATTATCAGTGTGTTTTTAACTTTTGGTTTATGTTTTCAAACAGAGAGCTTTCATTTACGCACGTGTGTGTCAAAGTTTGTGATGATGTTTAAAAACTCAAAAACCTTCATCCAGAAACTACTACTATTTATTGTAACTTTTTTTTACAGGGAAACTAGGATGAATAGAGGGAGAGGTGGTTTTGGTGGTAGAGGAAGAGGCAGGGGAGGAGGGTTTGGTGGAAGAGGTGGGGGACGTGGTGGAGGCCGAGGTGGTGGGAGAGGAGGATTTGATTTTGGTCCACCAGAGGAGGTGAAAGGTTAGTTTTTGGCAATTATTTACTTTTTTGCTTGCCAGTGATAAGCATTTTTTTAAAACATGTTAAAAATACTTGCCACATTTGGATGGTAAAACTGTGATTTTAAGATTGTGTCCATATTAACTGAAGTATATTAGTGAACATTTACGATAAAGGGTAAAAAAAATATATAAGGTTACAATATACTGCCAGCAAGACACAAAAGTATTTTCACCTGATGTTCGTACCATTTAAGTAAGTCTTCTTCAAAAATCAGTGCTCTGTTTAAGATCAATGTATATATTTCTTTTAAAGAATACCTTTTTTTTTTAAATTAAACCTTACATAATATAAAAAATGCCTGTGTGTGTGGAATAATGACAAAGTAAATATGAAGAAGAACAAATACGAGTTTGGAAATCCACAGTCAGAAATATTCTTCAATACAATTACTTTCTGTAAGGTGTATAAGCTCGTAAGATCATTTTGCATCCTGCAAGTGGTCTGAAAGAGAGTAAATTATCATCAACTTCTTATCAAAGCCAGCTACGTACATAGATCAGAACTTGTGTAAAGTCATGAAACCAAACTTATAATGATTAAAATACATTTATTCATTAGTTGGGTACCCATTCTGTTAATGATATTTTTGCAGTGTAATACAATATTAACTTATTCCATATATTTTTTTAAATTGTTTGATGTTCTTTATCTTTATTTACTTCTTGCTCTTCCATTATCAGTATGAAAACACCAAACCTTATTAGAATAATTAAAACAAAAGATTCAAGGGGAGAATTTATAGATATCTTACTATTTCAGAAAACTGTAAACACTTTTTTAGTCCATGTAAATTTCAGTAAACTACTACCGTATTGACCCAATTATAGAGTAGTCTCGAATATAAGGCAACCCACATTTTCAGAATCCATGGGAAAGAAAAAAAAATGTCATAACGTCCTTTTTTAGGTCTGCAAAATTGGTACTATAACTGAATAGCCTGCACGACGTGGCTTAGTTGCAAGAATGAGCAAACATCTGGCATGCATGCATAGACAGATTCTATCTGGAAATCCAAGAATGCAAAAGGCTAGAGTAGGGTGAAGGAGCCTGTTGTAAACCATGATTATAAAGTGACTGTGAATTTTGCAGCCCAATTATTAAGCAAAAAACATCGCTTTATAATCGATCCAATAGGGTTTCATATTGAACTGTATCACTGCTTCTGTGATAAGTAAAGTTAAGTTTTAAAATAAATATTGCTCATTTTTTCTGATCTGAAATTCTCTTGGTACATTTTCTACCTAGGCCTAAATCAGCTAATGAATCAGTTTCATTGGCATAAAATGAATTATTTTAATATCTTGTCAGATATTAGACCATTTTTATTTTTGTATTGCTTTAATAAGTATTAGGTTTGTTATTAAAATTTCATCTTAAAATTAATACTTATCTTTTTATTCCATTTATGTATATAATAGTCCAGGTATAGACCAATGTAAGTGTGTGCCCAGGCTGTAAGAACAAGTTTGTGAGATTGCAGCCATGGGTACACTATAAGAGTGACTGTCAAATCCCACTATTCAGTTAGACGAGCAGGCCAAGAGTTGGCTGTGAGTGCAGTTCATTAGCTACCTAACCTTTATTTTCTAAGTTCAAAATTAGGGATGATTATGCACAGACAATCCTTCTGTACTTTGCAAGAAACTTCTGTAATAACAATTGTTTAGATAATGACTGAAATACGATTTTTTTTCAAATTGCCACATTTACAGGTGTTAGGCTTAAAACTAAATTAATTACTGCATATATTTTTAATTGCTTGTCTTGATATTATATTAATAATCAGTCCATTATATATTTTGAATTATAGGTGGATAAAAACAGCTTTTCAAATCTGTTTGTTTCTCTGTCACTGTGATGGAATAAACTCCCATAGTCAAACCTCATTTAGCTTTATTACCTCGCTATCATTGTTTAAGCACACACATGTAGCATTTCGAATAAATTTTTGGGCAATGACTTGTGACAGCCAAACTTAGATCTGATTTAAATTTCAAAATTATATAATTGAAAAAAATATATACAATAAGGTAGAATTTTATCTCAAAATTAGCATGTCTTATCTGTGTATATGACCATGTTTCAGAGCTTAAACTTTCATTATGTGATTGAGAATTTCAAAATTAGTTATATATAGGCTGCAATCTAGTATCATATCTTTTAACATGGGTGACAAAACCTTGTCGAAACATTGTACATTTTACTGTTGCTTGTATTAAAGTTTTTCTTCATTACCCATTCAAGCCGTCTCCAAGCATTACAGATAAACAGAGATTGTTTGGCCCATCTGTTATCCTTTCACCCAACAGTAAACATTAAACAAACCCATTATTTTACATACTCGCATAACAAACATTGAAGATAACACTAACATCATAAGTTTATAACAATCTAGGTAAAAATAATTTTGTTAAAAAGCATCTTAGTGCAACTTCCTCCAGAGCTTCAACTTATTCTCCCAAATGCTCAAGTTTTTACTTCCAACCTGTTCATTCTGCATCTCAAACAAACAATCTAGAACCACAACAGTCAAATCCATAACAGTACTAAATACTTGAATTAACTCTTTTCTTAATTCTTCTGTCACCAGAAAAAAAAAACTTAGTAATCAACATTTTAAACTATAAAGTCTGGAGGACAAGGACACACCAGGGATAGG